AGGGAACTTAAAACAATAACAACAACAACAACAAATTCCCAAAATCCATTGCTCCAGTGTTTCTGAACCATCTGGGTGGAGCCTGAGAATTTGCGGTGTTGTTTTTTAAGCTCTGGTGTTATTGAATCCATACTGGCTCTTAATGAACCCCACTGTCCTTTCTGAACGCCCACAGACAATTGCTTCCAGAAATCTGAGTCTCCATGGCTCTTTTCTGAAAGGTCCTCTTTGTGCAGACCGGGACATAACCCTTCTGACTTGTGTGTCTGGTCCTGAGCAGGTTATCAGTTATTCAACCAATGGCCCAATAAAGCTGTGGGGTTAGGGATGAGCTGCCAGGTGTCTCCTTAATCAGGGGCCTCTCCTACTCTGGCCTTCCACTCCACCATCTCACCACGGTAGTCCTGCTCCCTGGTCTGCAGGATCAAGGAGACGGGGCAGATTGGGAAGGGAGTGATGCCATGTCCCCTGAAGTTCTGCCTCAAACTAGAAGCCCAAACTAGGGTGAGGTGAGGAGGCACCTACCACAGGTACAACATCTAAGATGGCACCAAAACTCAGGAATCAAGATAGAGAATACTTCAATGCAATATTTTAAAAAATCAAAATGAATACAAAAAATTAATATTTTGATGAACACAATATCAAAAGTTTATTATGTTTTTTATAGAGGCAAGGTCTCACTATGTTGCCCAGGCTGGTCTCCAACTCCTAGCCCCAAGGGATCCTCCCACCTCGAGCCTCCCAAAGTGCTGGGATTACAGGCATGAGCCACCATGCCTAGCCCAAAATTTTAAAGAAATACAGGTTTAGTCATGGTTCCAAACCATTTCAGAGCCTGAAATACAAGGAAAAAACAGTAACAGGAACAATGCAGAGAGCAGAGGGGAAAAAAAAATCTCACAATTGTTCTAATATCCTCAGAGAGAAAAGATATCATATCCACAAAACAAGAACAGGATGCTTTTTTGTTAAAGAAAAATAAATCTGAAAATAAAAAAGAGCACTTAGAAATTAACAATATAGTGGCTCCAGTGGCGCAATCGGTTAGCGCGCGGTACTTATAAGAAATTAACAATATGATAGTAGAGAAAAAAATCAGTGACATTATGAAAATAAGATTGAGAAAATCCTCCAGAAAGAAGAAGAACAACAAGCAAACTAACAAATAAACAACAAAAAATGCAAAAGAGATGCACAACAGAAGAGAGAAGAAAAAATTTAAGGATCAATTCCAGAAACGGACATCTAACCATGAGGAATTGTAGAAAGGAGAAATCTGAAAGAAATAAAGCAAAAACACTTTCCAGAACTGACAAATGGTAAGTCTCTTGATTGAAACAGTCCCCCAACATCCAGCATGGCAAACAAAAACAGCCAGAGAAGGGCATGTCACTGCAATTTCAGAATGCTGGGGTTCCAGGGAGCACCCCGAGAGCTTCCAGAAGTCAGGGGAAAACAGACATACACAAAGGTCAAAAATAAGAATCACACCAAGCCTCTGAACAGTGACATCAGAAGCCAGAAGACAACGGAGAGATGCCTCCAAACTTCTGAAAGAAAATTATTCTCAAGGCCCGGCGTGGTGGCTTACACTTGTAATCCCAGCACTTTGGGAGGCCGAGGCTAGCAGATCACTTGAGGTCAGGAGTCCGAGACCAGTCTGGCCAACATGGTGAAACCCCATCTCTACTAAAAATACAAAAAATTAGCCGGGCATGGTGGCACACATCTGTAATCCCAGTTACTCAGGAGGCTGAGGTAGGAGAATCGCTTGAACCCAGGAGGAGGAGGAGGTTGCAATGAGCCAAGATCTCGCCACTGCACTCCAGCCTCGGCCACAGAGCGAGACTCTGTCTCAAAAAAAAGAAAAAGTAAATTATTTTCAATCCAGAATTCTATATTCAGCCAAACCACCAATCAAATGAAAGGACAGAATAAAGGCATTTTCAGACATGTACGTTCTCAAGGGAATTTTTCCCTCTGTGCAACCTTTCCCAGGAAGCTAAACAAACAAAAGGATGAAGCAGGAAAGAGAAGACACAGGGTCAAGGGAACAGGGGATCCAACACAGGAGGGAGACAAAGGGGTTCCCAGGATGAAGGGAAAGGGAGGCCCCAGGATGGCACCCGTGGTACCAGCAGGCGAGTGGCCAGACGGGATTGGAGTGCAGGACAGGAGAGAAGTTTCTCGGGGGCATAAAGGAACTGACAGGCTTGACCACCCTGAAATTATCTTTTTTTCTTTCTTCTGTTTTTTTTTTTCAGAGATAGAGTCTTCTTTTGCCCAGGCTGGTGAGGTCACAGCTCAACACAGCCTTGACCGCCCAGCCTCAAGCAATCCTCCAGCCTCAGCCTCCCAAGTAGCTGGGACTACAGGGGCAAGCCACCACACCCAGATAATTTTTGTTTTAATTTTTTAGAGATGTGGGTCTCACTATGTTGCTTAGGCTATTCTGGAACTCCTGAGCTCAAGCGATCCACCCGTCTTAGCCTCCCAAAGTGCTGGGATTTTAGGTGTGGGCCACCATGCCCAGCCTACAATGAAAATTACATTTGAGGCCAGGGGATGTGTAGGAAAATGTAGCTATGGTAGGCACAGAAAACTAAGTAAGCAAGGGCAGGAGAGGGGGCCAGGATCCAGGAAGAGCCAAAATCATACAAGAAAAGAAATAATGATATAACCCTGCCTGGATTAGAAGTGAACACTATGTACATGATTGTAACAATCCACAACCGAGTACACGGATTGAACAGGAAGATTGGGCGGCAGGCTGAAAGGTTGCTCAGCAGGAGTATACAAAAGCCAAACCTCCCTGAGATGCAGCAGGCCATGAATAGGTACGCCTAAAACCGGTGCACAGACAGGTAGCAGTACAGTATAAGCAAAACCCTTGGAAATACGGAAGTAAACTCCAGAAGAAACAGCCCAGGCAGGCAGAGCCTTCTGAGAAAGGGGAGGGGGCAGACCCCAGAGGAGAGGAGGGGCAGGACTGCTGTTTTGTTTTATGATTTTAGCACTATTTAACCTTTTTTTTTCTATCTGCACATACTTATTTAAGAAAATAGTTATTCAAATATAAAATAAAGAAATCTATATTAAGAAGCAGGTCCTCTTGTTGTTTCTTGAGTCCTAAGAATCCACCCTCATCACTCCCAGCCGCAGGCACCTACACACACTGCCGCAGGCACCTACACACACAGCCGCAGGCACCTACACACACCGCCGCAGGCACCTACACACACAGCCGCAGGCACACTCACACACACTGCCACAGGCACACTCACACACAGCCGCAGGCACCTACACACACCGCCACAGGCACCTACACACACCGCCACAGGCACCTACACACACTGCCGCAGGCACATTCACACACAGCCGCAGGCACATTCACACACAGCCGCAGGCACCTACACACACCGCCACAGGCACCTACACACACCGCCGCAGGCACATTCACACACAGCCGCAGGCACATTCACACACAGCCGCAGGCACCTACACACACCGCCACAGGCACCTACACACACCGCCGCAGGCACATTCACACACCGCCGCAGGCACATTCACACACAGCCCCAGGCACCTACACACACCGCCGCAGGCACCTACACACACCGCCGCAGGCACCTACACACACCGCCGCAGGCACATTCACACACAGCCGCAGACACCTACACACACAGCCGCAGACACCTACACACACAGCCGCAGGCACCTACACACACCGCCGCAGGCACCTACACACACCGCCGCAGGCACACTCACACACTGCCGCAGGCACCTACACACACCGCCGCAGGCACCTACACACACCGCCGCAGGCACATTCACACACCGCCGCAGGCACCTACACACACCGCCGCAGGCACATTCACACACAGCCGCAGGCACCTACACACACCGCCGCAGGCACATTCACACACAGCCGCAGGCACGTACACACACCGCCGCAGGCACCTACACACACCGCCGCAGGCACGTACACACACAGCCGCAGGCACCTACACACACCGCCGCAGGCACGTACACACACAGCCGCAGGCACCTACACACACCGCTGCAGGCACGTACACACACTGCCGCAGGCACCTACACACACCGCTGCAGGCACGTACACACACCGCTGCAGGCACGTACACACACTGCCGCAGGCACCTACACACACCGCCGCAGGCACATTCACACACAGCCGCAGGCACACTCACACACCACCACAGGCACACTCGCACTCGCACTCACACATGCTCATCACAAACACCCACAAACAGCCCACAGTGACAGACAGGTACACACACATAATACACCAAATCATGCGACACAGGTGCGAACCCAGCGTCCATGACACACACACCCATTCCCAGAAACGCACGATTATATTAACAGATTCACCCATAGACACACCGAGGCTTCCAAGAGCCTCCCAGAAACCTGAAGGGAGAGCACTTCCTCCAGGCCTCGCCTCCCTGCGCCAGCACCCCAGAACTGCCCCAGGCCGAGGAGGCTGTCTCCAGGAGCTGCACCCTAATTGCTTTCTCTACTCAGCCCCCTGCTGAGTGCCCAGCCCTTAGGCTAAGCAGCCATTAATCCTCTTGCGCCCCGGTCTGTAGATGGGGCAGAAATGGGGTGGGGAAGGGCCCCATCTGGCAGCTGAGATGTGACTCATAATGCCACCGTCAGCTTTTTCTTCCCTAAGTCATGGGAGAGTCCAGTGTCAAGAACGCCGTGGCCAGGCTGTGCATCCTGGTACAATCCATTTGATGTCTCTGGGGCCAGGAGGGAGTAGGCAGCCTATGAAACGCTTAGATGCTGTGACTTTATGATCCATTCCGGGCTCTGCTTCCATCCCCTCCCCTGGGATTCTTCTCTCCACCCTGACCTCCAGGGCCAACCACAAATGATATGTGATTTGCATGTAGGACAAGCGCACCTGGGGCAGCTGGTGAGACCTCCCCCACCCCCACTTCGCTCCCCCTCCATGTTCCTCCAGCACTCACCACCACCCTGGTCCTGTTATCTGGCAGCGTGTCCATGGCCAGGGTGCCCCCACCCAGGTCCTGGCTCAGCTGGGTCCTGTCCGGCTCTGACACCTGCCCAGGGCTCTCTCGGGCTCTCCGGTTCCAGCCCCGTACGATCCCCTTGGCAGCCCATCCAGAGCCTGGGCCCTCATCGTGACCTGGGAGAAGGGGACAGAAACCTGAGTGCCAGCAGTCCAGAATGAAGATCCAGGAGGGGAATCCAGCCCAGTTATTCTGCAAGGGCCCCAAGACCATGCCATTGTAGACTTTGCAGACACTTGACTACCAGGACAGGAGACACCCAATGTGTACTGAGAGTCGCGTGCCCAGCTCCAGGCCAAGCACTTCGCACATATCCTGTTAATCCTCACGCCAGCTCTCTGCAGTAAATAGGATACTCTCCATTTTGCAGACAGGAATCAGAGGCTCAGAGGTTAAAAGTCACACAGTGGGTTAGGCATGGAGATAAGTTTCAAATCCAAGCTGATCTGCCTCCAAAGGTTGATCATTCTCAACCTCAGCTACACACTGGAGTCACCAGGGCTGCTTCAAAAGTTCCTGATGTCTGGGTCCCACCCCAGATATCTCTCATAACTGGTCTTTGGTGTAGCCAGGGCCATTTGATTTCTTAAAAGATCTTCAGGGAAGATTTTGAGAAGCCTTGGACTTAACTCTGCAGGCAAGGGTGAGAACCATTGCCATGGAACCTTCCAAACCAGTTTCTTATTTCTCTGCCAGAAATGGCACATAATCCCATTTCCCAGTGGGGTCAGCAGACTAGAAGCCAGAGAGTAGTTCTTTTCGTTCAGGGCTTCTCAACCTCGGTACTATTGACATTTGGACTGGATAATTCCTTTTTCCACTTTTTTTTATTGTGGCAAAATACACATAACAAAATTTGCCATCTAACCATTTCCAAGTGTACAATTCAGTGGCATTAAATACATTCCTAATGTTGTATGACCATCACCACCATCCATCTGCGTAACTCTTTTCACCTTGTAAAACTAAAATTCTGCACCTGTTAAATAATAACTCCCTATTCATCCCTGTTTTTTATTTTATTTTATTTTATTTTATTTTATTTTATTTAAGAGATGGGGCCTTGCTCTGTCACCCAGGCTGGAGTCTAGTGGTTCGATCACTGCAGCCTCCAACTGTTGGGCTCATGCGATCCTCCCACCTCAGCCTCCCAAGTAGCTGGGACTATAGGCATGCACCACCATGCCCAGCTAATCTTTTTACTTTTTATAGAGACAGGGTCTCACTATGTTGTTCAGGATGGTTGGTCTTGAATTCCTGGTCTCAAGCAATTTTCTCTCCTTGGCTCCCAAGGTGCTGGGATTACAGATATGAGCCACAACGCCCAGCCTGTATCTATGATTTTGACTACTCTAAGTATCTCATATAAATGGAATCATACTATATTTGTCTTTTTGTGATTGGCTTATTTCACTTAGCATAATAAATTCAAGGTTAATTCATGTCGTAGCATATGGCAGAATTGACTTCCTTTTGAAGGCTGAATAATATTCCATTGTGTGGATATACCACATTTTGCTTACCCACGCAACTATCAGTGGATGTCTGTTTTGCTTCCACATTATAGCTATTGTGAACAATGCTGCTACAAACATGGGTGTACAAATATCTCTTTGAGACCTGGCCTTCAATTCTTTTGGGTTTATACCTAGAAGTGGAATTGCTGGATCATATGGTAATTCTATTTCTAATTTTTTGAAGAATCACCATACTGTTTTCCATGTAAAGTGGGTGGCTGGACCATTTTACATTCCCACCAACCGTGCACATGGGTTCCAATCTCTCAACATTCTTGCCAATACTTGTTATTTTCTGGTTTTTTTATAGTAGCCATCCTAACAGGTATGAGGTTGTGTCTCGTTTTTATAAACTGGCATTTCCCTAATGATTAGCAACGCTGAGCATCTTTTCATATGCTTGTGGGCCATTTGTATATCTTATTTGGAGAAATGTCTATTTAAGTCTTTTGCCTGTTTTTAAATTGGATTGTTGGTTGGACTGGATAATTCATTGTTATGCGGGAGCTGTCCAGTGCTCTGTAAGATGTTTAGCAGCAGCCTTGGCCCCTGCTCACTAAATGCCAATAGCACCACGGCCCTCCCCATCCCAGGCTGTGACAATGAAAAATGTCTCCAAACATTGCCAAATATCCCCTGGGGAACAAAATTACCCCTCCCTTGCCCCATTGAGAACACTGTTTTACTCCTATCACTACCTAGACACTGTCTAGGATGGCAAATAGGTTTCATATTCACATGCCATCTGCAATCCATTCGTGACAGCCAGAGGCAGTCTAATTGAGACTGCAAAGGCTCCTCTTGTGTTTAGCAGGAAAGACTGTCAAGATCAATTAGCAATGTCTGCCATGGGCACAGGATTGGAAAGTGACTACACACGGGCCATTTTGCAGCCATTCCTAGGTTCCATGATCTCCTCTCCAGTTCCCTCTAGGTTGTTAAATTGATGATTTTTTTGAGACAGGGTCTCACTCTAGTACGCAGACTGGAGTGCAGTGGCACAATCACAGCTCACTGTAGCCTCGACCTCTTAGGCTCAAGCAATCCTCCCACCTCTCCTCTGGTCCAGAATCCTCTGGTTTCTCTTGGGTGGGGCCCACAGTTGCTTCTGGAGACAGAGCTGTTTGTGCTGGGCTGGTCTGCCCAGCTCCCCAGGTCTTCCTGCAAGCAGCCCTGGGGCCTGGGCTGAGTAGCTGGGACTACAGTTGTGTGCCACTACAGCCGGCTAATTATTATTATTTTATTTTGTATTTTTTGTAGAGGCTGGGTTTCACCATGTTGCCCGCACTGGCCTTGAACTCCTGGGCTCAAGTGGTCCTCCCACCTTGGCCTCCCAAAGTGGTGGGATTATAAGCATGAGCCACTGCACCAGGTCTGTTAAATTAGTTCTAACAAAAGGCCTGGCGCGGTGGCTCACGTCTATAATCCTAGCACTTTGAGAGGCTAAGGTGAGTGGATCACCTGAGGTCAGGAGTTCGAGACCAGCCTGGCCAACATGGCGAAACCCCATCTCTACTAAAAATACAAAAATTAGCCGGGTGTGGTGGTGGGCACCTATAATCCCAGCTACTCGGGAGGCTGAGGCAGGAGAACTGCTTGAACCCGGGAGGCGGAGGTTGCAGTGAGCCAAGATTGCGCCATTGCACTCCAGCCTGGGCAAAAAAGCAAAACTTCATCTCAAAATAAATAAATAACACAAAACCATCCTTTTCCATTTCAAAAAGATTTATGTCCCCAAAGCTGTGCCTTCTATTGCCATCCTAATGGTCATACCTACTATGGATGCATATATGACAACAGACCACCAGACAGGTAGATCTGACATTCCCACCTGTGACCCTCATCCATTTCAGGCCCACCCTGTGTCAGATACCTGTCTCAACCTCTGCCTTCCTTCACCTCACTCCCCAGAGCTCCTAGATGTGGTTCTCCCTCTCCTAGAGCACCTATGTGTGCGACTATGTGCCTATCTCCCTGGCAGATTTGAGTTTCCCCAGGATTCTCTCAACCTTCTTCAAATTTGGCATGGCCAGCAAACAGCAGGTGCTCCATCACTGCAGAATTGAGGACGCAATGCATAGGGTAGCTCCTGGGAGCCAGCAAGGACAGAGGTTGAGACCAGGCTTGGCCAGGCCCAGGCCTGGGGCTGAGGCCAGAACTCTGCTGTGGGGCTCTGCTTTGTCATTAGACATTGTATCCAATTAAGTCATTCTTGGCTGCTGGCGCCTACTGGACCCTTGCCGGCCCCCTCTCGCTTCTCTGCCCCTAATAGCAACCAGATGCTCCTGGAGAACATGGGGAGGAGGGCAGTCCCCAGACCCCTTCCCCAAGATGCCCTCTGGCTGCCCACAGATTGACCTGAGTCCAGGGCTGGGAAGGCAGCCTGCCCGCTGCCCAGGCCCAAGCCAGGGCTGTCTGATCTCTCTTGGGTGGGGCCCACAGTTGCTTCTGGAGACAGAGCTGTTTGTGCTGGGCTGGTCTGCCCAGCTCCCCAGGTCTTCCTGCAAGCAGCCGTGGGGCCTGGGCAGGAGCCAGAACAGGATAGAGCAGGTAATGAACAAGTGCAGGGGACTCAGCGGCCCACAGAGGAGTGTTGGGGATCTTCAGGATTCACAAACCTGGAGTCGAGACAGGAGGCCAGATGGTGGAGGCCTGCAGCACGGGGAAGGACAGGGAGGGGGCCTAGCTGAGGGTGGCCAGGGAAGAGACACTGGGTTGACCTCACCACCCAGTCTTGCCACTCATAAACTGTGGGACCTTGGCCCCATCAGTCTTCCTTTCTAAGCCTCAGCTCCCTAGTGACTAAAATGGGTTTCACAATCATGCCCACAGTACAGGCTGCCATGAGCATCAAGTGAGAAACATAAATGAGGTTTTATAGAGGGCTCAGGCCAGGGTAAGAGGCAGAGTCCATGAAAGAGGGCAGGGCGAGGGATGGAGAGGGAGCTTGAGCAGGACCCTGGCCTACCCTGGCCTAGCCCTGAATCTTACTCTTCCAACCCATACCACATCTGTTTCCTGGCCACCCTTCCTCCACTGTTGCCTGGGACAGGATGTCATCCCCACAACTCATGACAGAAGCCAACACAGCTGGTTGCTCACGTGTATGTGCAGGGGCCCACGTGCCTGTGCACGTGCCCACGAAGACTCGCCTGAAAGCCTCGGCCTTCCTGTGTGTGCTCACACACAGGGTGGATACCCACCCAACCCTCAGCCACTCCTCACCCCACCTGCCTTCCACTGAAGAGAGCTTCATTTTCCCTGGACTCGTTCCACACCTACACGTGTGAGAGCACCCGCCTGCATGTGTTGCCAAGGAGCTTCCAGAACACAAGCTGTTCATTCATTTCTTCCCCTACTCATGGCCCCAAGCAGTGTGCAGTCCGGTGGGATGCCATAATAATCACAGTAGTAATGAAAATGATAGCTGACTTTCAGAGAACGCTGCTCTGTGCTAGCACTATTCCAGGGGCTTTAAACACATTAATCCCCTTAATCCCCACAATAATCCCATGAAATAGTTACTAGTTTAAAATCCATTTTACAAATGGAGAAACTGAGGCACAAAGATGTTACCAAACCTCCCAAGGTCACAGAAC